TTTTTTCTTATAATATAAAATTAAATACTACTATAATATAATCCTTATTTTCAAATATTATTAAAAAAAAATTTATTTAAATATTTTAAATTTTAAAAAAAATAAATCATAAGCAAATTTATAGCAATTTTCCAGGCAAATTTGTCTGGAATTGCCTACAGTTTAAGAGATAATACTTGTAAGATAATAATACTAGCTTTAAGACCTTTAGGACTTTTAAAACATCGCTCTTATAATCCTACCCAAATAAATCAATGAACAGAATTTCCGGAGGACGAAATTTTCCGGTCTACAATATTCTCACATATATATTATTTGATAAAACGAACTTTGCGAACGTACATACTCCCTATTTTATACTTGTAAAAATTGTTTTGAAAACTTAACTAATATTCAAATTCAATATAACTAGAAGTATATTACACCATCAATAACAGCACGACCAATTACAGGAGAAAACCCAAATTTTTATAATTCCAATAAATTCAGATAAATTTTCACAGACTCAATATTAGTAGTAAATTGAACTTTTACTAAGCTATCTAGAATCTTATCACGATTTAAAAAATTTGAATGTAAAACATTTCCTGCCGATTATAAAGAAATCCATCTTGTAATATTGGACTTCCAGATCCATAACATTATATGCTAATAAACTTTGTTGTCATCAACTTCACCGCAATATATCTATTAATTCCCAAATCACAGATTCAAGGCGATCCTAATCCTAGATTTAAATTTTTTAATTTAATGATCTTTTCTTGAAGTTTTGTCCAATCTTTGAGTGTAACTTTTGGAGTTTTTTGTCCGTAATTAAAAGTATACTTTAACCATATTTAATAACGTGATACAATTTGCTGTTAAAGAGTTTGAAGTTGTCGTTGAGAAATCACATCCAATAAGTGAGCGTAATTAATCTTTTTTATATATTTATCAGTTTCTGTAACAAGTCTGTTTACAGCTTCTGGCCAATTACCTTCAAGATGTGAATTCATGGATATATCATCAACAAAGACAAAGAATCCTTTCCTTCATGTTTAATAAAGTTCACGAAATTTCCCAGTATTAAAATTAATATGATGACTAATTCCGTGAGAGATTGTAAGCCAAATATCATCAGGGCTCAAATGCAAATGTTGATGACGATTATAGGCATGAATTATTGCAGCAGCGAAACTTTTAAAAAGTAAGTTTATTCGAGAACTGATTGTTTAGAATTTGTAGAAGTGACTTGAATCGGTTGGGCTATAATCGGTTAATCGACCTGAACCGAATAAATTTCGGTTAATCGGTTGAGGAAATTCTTATCGGTTGACCTGGTACAACCGGTTGAGAATTGATAATCGGTTGGTGGGGTTGATATAGTATGGAAATAACGTAAGGAAAGAATAAAGGAACCGAAAAATTTCGAAAAAAATGAATAACATAAAAGACGAGCAAGGTTGAGATAAAATTTTGAGCAAAGCTCAAGAGTTCCGAAGGCAATAGAGATATTAATCTTAACTGTTGGCAACCGGTGTTCGGCTCGGTTAACCGATTAAGAAAATTTTTCTCAGTTCAAATCACTAACCTGATGTGACCTTAGCGAGCCTTCTTTTGATTGGTCAGTCATAATACTTTAGAAGGTAACGTTTTGCAAGTAAAAATGGATATTTCTGTTACGTCACTTAATCATTCGTAATGAGACCATAGTGACCGATGACTATAAGTCATGTGCATAATGACCAAGGTCATTTAAAAAACAAAAAAATGACATAGTCATTTACCAACACTGTATTGGCAATTGGACTACGCGACGCAATTTTAAGTAATTGGAATTGGCATACTTTTTATTTTAACTTCAATTAGACTATGTTCATTGGTCCAATTTTAGTTTAATTGCAGTATAGAATTTTCGTCTGTTGAAAATTCTGGAGATTCTATCTTGACTGAAATATTGGGTTTAATCTCATTTTCGAGTTTTATTTTCTGAATTAAAATTTGTTTGCTATGAGCGTTAGTTGTTGTCAGCGAATTCAAATTTATGTTGAAGTGAATTCGGAATTATGTGGATTCTAAATTAAGTATATTGAGAATCAATTAAGAAGATTTTGAATCTCAAAATAATGTAAGTAGAAATAGAAATTTAAAATTATAAGCAAAATATAAATTATAGAAATATGTAATTTATAGCAACAGCATTGCACTATCACTATATTATTTATTTTTCTATAATTAGAAAGCCTATATCCGTAAGAATTTTTTTTTTTTTGCTTTTTCATTTAACGATAGTGATAAACTTAGATTCATTTCAATTCCAATTTCTATAGCTGAAAAGAATTTTAAATCGAGTTCCAAATTTGTACAGTATTAGTAGGGTAGTACCGCAGTTAATAAAGGCTTTACAACATCTTGCACGTTACTTTTTTTTCAAAACTGAAACCTTCAATAAAATACTGAAATAAGTTGATAGACAAAATCATATGAAAAATAATTATATGTCTTATAATCTCGTGTAACTCGATAAAATGGATGTTAAGAGTTAAAATTGTAGTAAAACTTCACACAAAATATTTTAACTAGAGTGCAGAAGTGATACACATAGTTAAACATTTCGAGCTACAGGTGGTTTTTCGCTTTCGCTTTTAATTTTATGTTACAGTTAAAATTTGATTCCCACGGCACCACTAAATTTAAGAAAATGGCGGTTGACCTGATTTATTCATAACAAAGACCTGCAATGCAAATGCAGTTATAAACCAATGAACACTGACATCTCATATCATTAGATACTATTGTACGGACTAATTTGTTTAAACCAAACTTTATTTCTGTATTTATTGACTGCCTATTCAACAAATTTGGCCGTGAACAAAGAGCGTACATAAAGATATCGTCTACAGAAACACGCATGATTGCGTATAGTTAACGTAACTAGCTATTAACAATAGCTTGGAGATAATCGTTTGTTGGTCTATTTTGTATTATACAAATTTTATGGTAGGATACGTACAGTACATAACTTTTCCGTCTATTTCCGTTTAGGCTTATATTTTTGACGGCGTCGCACAAATAACATAATACATAAAATGTCTTTAATCTTTCGTAAAATTTGTAGTGCAAAACAATATGATAAAAATTTTTTTTTCGATTAAACAATATGATAAAATTTTTTTTTCAATTAAACAATATGATAAATTTACTTAATTTCTCATTAAACAGAAAATTCTAGATATCTAAATATGTAATTTATTAACAAATTTATAACATTGCCAACTAGCCTCTAAATAAGGACAAATGGCAACTAAATAAGAATGATAGATACATGATATGATGGCATAATGCTTTATCGAATGTTAAATGAAATAAAAACTATTTATGATGACATAGTACTATGTTTTGAAACATTGCAATTTTAATTATTAGATAAACTAAAAATTTTAGTAAACTTGTGTAATTAAGCTTCTCTTGACAGCGTAATTACAAAACTGAATATAAAAATTTCAATTAGAAATTAATCAAGTACATGAATAAGAAATTTTTTGAACTCATTTAAAATGATAATAACTTACCTCATCGAAAAGAATAAGTCCACCACGATTCATATCGATTTTATCGAATTCTAATTTAAGCTCTGCATCTGAAAATTCAAATAATTTCAAGTCCTTAGACCCATTCTTAAACTCATCAAAATTGATACGTCCATCATTATCTTTATCAACTTTCTGGAAAATATCATATAGCTCATAATAATGGTTAAGAGCATCAAGAAGAATAGCAAATTCATTGATTTCAATATAACCGTTCTGATTGAATGTAATTAATGTTATAATAATGTATGCAACAAATAAACATGAACAATTTAAAATTTACAAACCTTTGAAGCATCAGCATCTTGATAAGCCCGCATTATGACTTTTTTCCTACTATTGAATTGTGGATAGGTTCTGAGTACAACACTTTCGATTTCTGAATAAGATAATTTACCATTGCCGTTTGTATCGAAAGTGTTAAAAAGCTGGTACAATAATTAAATTAGTGATTAGAAATTACGAATTTTCATAAAAAAAACAAACCAAATTAATGTTATTATTAATTACATTCTTGAGTTCCTCTTTGCTTAATTTGGAGGCCATGATTTTTTTTAGTATGTTTTATGAGTAGTGTTTTTTTTTTTCGAACGATTATTGAAGAAATTTTTATTTTTCAGTGAGGATGGAACATGAACGATTTTTATATTGTCTGCTACAATCGGCTTTAATCTTCCTAAATTTATTCAAACTTAACGTTAACTTTATTCATAAAGTTACAGAGGTTAAATATGGTCATTGTGTATCACTGAAAAGACTATAGTGATTTAAACTATTTGTAAACCATGTTTTCTAAATAGATTATTTGAGATCATTCTATTTTTTTCTATTTTGTACGCGAACTAAACTATATATATATTAAACGCCTGTGGGAAAAACCTTTGCATACATATCATGCGCATCTCAGATATTCACGATAATTTTACTCCCACATTAATTTCTATAACTGGATTATTGAACTGGATTATTGTACTATAATAGAGAATTTCAAACTGTTAGCATCGTTATCCGGAATTATGAAAAAAAGGTATCCTTATTGCACATTTATTTAGAAAAACTTGTTTATTTATGCTTTTCTCCCCTATTTAAAATTATCCACTCACATTTAATACTCTAGCCTGGCTATCCAATATCCAATAAGGATAAATGAAATGTTGAAAGAGCATGTATACTAAAATAGGTTGCATTATGCAGACTTAGTTACAATAACATTAAATAGGTTATGTCAAACTGGTTTTTAATGTAAGTCGTAAATTAGTGACATCAGTATTGTTGTGAAGAATGTTATTTGTTGTAATATTGTTGCCGGAATGAAGTAGCAACAGCAGGATGCAGTTGAATTTTCTGAATATGGATCAGAGCAATTATTTGGGTGTTTTTATTAGAATTAGGCTGTTGTTAAATGTAAATTCGCGCCCAACATTTTTGTTTAGTGTACTAAAGGAGATTTAGACTGCATCTTGCTGCAGTTGAAACAAAGTGGGCATGTCTGGTGTAATCAAAACTACGTATAATTCTTGACTCGAATAAAGATAGAGTAGTTGTGGTAGAAAAATTTGCATCAAGTGACTTCTGATTGTTCTAATCAATATACTAAATTTATGCAATTAGATATATTAAGTTTATTGATTGTTCGAATTTTTTCCCCATAACTATTCTACCTCCCGAATTAGGCACGTTTCACGTGTTCTTATCCCGTGCTCCCGACGCCGATTTTGTCCGGAACCACTAACCCAAAATAATCAAGTAATGAAATCCACAAAATCTTTGAACACGAAATAACAACAAATTAGGCGAGAGGCTGTGTAAATAGTGTGAAAATCCAAAATCCGTGTTCATTCTAAAAAACATGTTAAGAATAATTAGTATGAAAAAATCCATGTGAACAATACAAAAATGAAGCATTTATTAAGAATTTACTGATACAAGCTCTTAGAAAAGGAAAAATTACATGAATGTTTACTCTTTTCACAACCTAAACTCCTTTGCCATGAAAAGTTCGTTTGAAATTCATATGATAGAATAAATGAGATGGAATATAATGGACTATTACATTCCATCTAAAGGTTTGATCCGGTCAAAAAATAATCAGCCAGATATTCATTTGCTAAGCCGGATATCGCTCAATAAATTTAATTAATACCATATAGGATTAATTCATTGAACATAAATTAATATTCGAATAAGTGGTATGGTAATATATCACGTGACTGGAAAACGAGTACACACCACCCATTAAGCCGTCACACGCGAACGCTACCATAGGTAGAATCAAATTCGTAAAGATCAAGCATTCCAAGGATCTAAGCAACGGAACAAGTTCTCACTGCGCTAGAGTAAATAACAAATCAAAATTCTCGCTACCCACCCAATCCATTCATCATTCTTCATATACAGCTGGCCTGCTTCGGTAGGCGGGAAATGACTTCTCTGGCTAATCCTACGAAGATTCCCAATGCAATGCCGTTCTAGTAAATTCGGTCAATTACTTTAAATTCAATAAAAAATCGCCACTGGCCTAAATTATCTGCTGGCGTAGTTCAACCAATCACTTCGTGTAATATTTATTTTTAGAAGCTTTCCTTTATCTTTTTCAAAGTTCACTAATTCTGTATTTTTTTATTATAAAGTTTTATTAAATTATATTTATTTTATTTAAATTTCTTTTTTAAGATTTTTCTTTATCTTTTCAAAAGATTACTAATTAAGCATTTTATTTGGCTTTGTATTTTAAATTTGATTAGTTTATTTAAAATTTCTTTATTATTATTGTTATTTATTTATTTAAGTTGACGCAGGTCAACAGATCGAAAAGACAGCACGCCGACAATCACATTGCAACCGGTCTGGACAAGATAAAACCGGATTGCAGATGAACCCAATAAGGACGTCTATGAAGCCTTATCAAGTAAATCAGAACATCAGCGCCGCATGAATTCAGATGAGTATACAGTATAACATAATTAATTGCTCATTTTGAGAGTGCGAAATTATTACTAACAATAGCGCATTGTTGACCGGTTTAGAATATAAAGAAAAGTGGAGAACACCGCGGGAAATTCGTCGCATTAACAAATGCAAGAAGCGAACAGGATTCGCACCCGAGCCTTCCCCCTATAGGATCCTGCCATTTCGTGTAACTTAAAACCTCATATTAAAGTCGGCCTGCTTTATGCAGCGTGAGAGACCACCGACTGATGTTGCGAAACGCAAATTCAACTGATGACGGTAATATCTGGCGCCATTTTGTTGCTATTTATGGGTGTAAATCCCTTCTCAGTTTATAAATCAATTGCACTGATGTATGCTACATATATCATCTACAAAAAATCGTCAATAAAGTTCAATATCAGCCAGAGACATCCAAATAATAAATTTGTCACGTGCGTGCAGTGCTTTTGACATTATTTGTTGAATTGCTTAAAAAATCCAAACCCCGATGATTTAGCTGTTTATAAAACTGGAGTTTGAGGATAGATATGCCGTATACATTATGCAGGCGATATTGAATGCTACGTAATGCTGCATAATGCGATGCATGTTGCCTAAAATTTAAAAACGAACATAGAAATTTTTATGTAATTTTGTTCTTGCCATTTCATCAGCAATCACTTTATAGACACTTGTTCTTATCAAATTCGTAGCATGTGAAATCCAATAAAAAATTAATCTACCAGGTCTGTTTCCACTATATAAACTCTATATTTTTGTTTTAAAATTCGATAATCTATCAGTAATAATACAAAGTCTGTTCACTGTATGTGGGTTTTGAGAGGTCCACAGCATGTTATGCGGAATTGCATAATACATCATGCGACATAATGTTGCATTATGTGATGCAAACTTGCATTCGCATATCTCTAGGATTTTGGCTAAAGTCAACAATAGTCAGCATAAACTACGAGACAAATTTTGTACTGTTAAATGATTTCATTTCTTAATTACAATCCGATTACCTAATGTTTACATTCGAAATTATAATAACTCCATTATTAAAATAAGTCGTTGTTATAATCAGAGGTAATAGATGTAACCGATATTTTATGTAACATAAATCATAACTAGTGTTAGCGTTATAAGAATTGTTTATGGCAGAAATGCAACAAAGAAAAAGGCATACTGGCAAATGAAGTAATATATCATTTTTGGATGATTTGTTCTTGTGATTTCAACTTGAGATTATATGCGTTAACTTAAAATTGATTGAACATTGCGTAATCAAAGAATTATTTTTCTATTATCTGTTATAAAATGTTAAATTTAAGCTTCCTTATCTGGCATTTGATATATGCAACTTCATATCTCGTTTTACCTGTATTATCTATCTGTGAATTATATCGTTTGATTTCACCTGATTTGAATTTACACAAAAAACATCGATATTGGAACTGATCTACCGTTACAAATAAGAGTATGATTTTCCCTGTTAATGGCAAGCGATTGAAATCTATTCATGTGACCTCTTCTTGGGGTGCGCTGTATGAGGCTTACTGTACGTATTTATTATCATAGCAGGTTATGTCCTGTAATGCAATCTGAACAAAGCATTATTCTTTATATAATATGTTGAATTTCTTTGTCCGGTCATCGATGGCATTTAAATCTGTAATATGTGAAAGTTATGTCTCATTTTTTACTTTTTTATTGTTTTATCAATTTGTTTATTGTATTGTATAAGCTTTTCTTTTTATAAATTTATTCGTTTCAGCGCGAACTTTTTATTTTTATATTAAACTATTTGATTTGAATTTGAACAATAAACTAGTTTTATGAACGAAGAATACCAGGAACGGAATGCAATGAAAAATATGTCTAATTGCGGATGAAATGATGCGTGCTATTTTCATCCAACTTTTTTTTTTTTTTTTGCTAAGCACATTGTTATGCATTTTCTCCTCATAAACCATTTTATTTCAATTGTGCCAGCATGGTGTTCTTGCAAAATGGTTTTCCTCGGATTTCTTCTAGTTCAAGATTAATAGGTTAACGTGGTGTTCTTACAACATGTATTTATTGATGCTTTTTCTTATTTTGAAATAATCTATTCTGACTAATGTAACGTAAGACACTTTGCAATTTTTAAATGATTAAAGGTAGCCAACATAAAATTTGGCTTACTTTTGACTTTTGTTGATTATTAATTGACTGGGTCATTATTTAATTTCATCAATTAAAAGAGTGAATATCAAACTTTATCATAGTTCAAAAAAATTTTTTAGTTAATCTTATACTTTACGTTTAGAAAAAAGCAAAATAAAGTACCAATATCTTCATAATCAAAAATAAAAACTTTCAAGTACATTAAATTGGTTTAATATTATATTATCTTTACATCATTATGTTTACAAAAAAAAATTTTTCATTGTTATTTTTTTCTTTTTTTATAAAAAAAAAATTAGTTAGATAATCGTAATAATGTATTCGCCAAAAAATTTACTAAAGTATAAAAGAATAAGTGGATTACTGATTACAAAATAACGCAGAAGCTTTTATCCCCATCGCGGTTTGCAAAATGATGTATCTTTAATCAAATTTTGTAGACGCAT